AGGTGCTGACACACTCCGGAACACCTGTTCTAAATTAATCGTGCGCTTAACACGGCTGCGAACCACGTGGCTGACGCGTAGGTTCATTCTGTCTTGTGAGTATTGTAAAATGTTGGTAAATATTGATGTATATAATATATATATATATATATATATAATATATAATATATATATATATATATATATATATATATATATATATGTATATATATAATCACGATCGTGAAACGCGGCATTATATGAAACACCCAAATTATGCCTGAAATGCTTGGCTACGGAAGGGCAGAAAACAGCAGAATAGTAAAGAACAGGCCAAAACAGATCAGCAGTCGAAGCAGGGTGGAAATGCACAGCGTAGAAGAGCGCAGGACATAAGACAACGGATGGGACAGGACAGGAGATAATGGCACTGGGTGGGGTAGCAGATGATGGCACAGGGCAGAAGACAAAAGGACAACGGGGCTGAGGGGAGCGCTGAGTGCTGAGCGAGTTAAGCAGGAGTTTGTCGTGTAACATACTAACACACTAAATCTTCGTCAAAATGCATCATCTTTTTCGCATGCCCAATGGCCATCGCTCAGCGTCACAGCCCCGTGGCTGACACAGCGAGGCCTATGGAGACTGCAACGCCGGGCGTTGAGGCTGTTGTTGCTAAGATTTGTGAGCGCGCATGTTCAAAACCATGCTAGATAATTTTATCAGTGATAGATTTATACGGAATGTTAAACATGCCAAGATAAGCATGGGCTAGCCATGTCAAGATAAATCTGGGACGCCATTTCTACATAATTTACGCTCAAGCGGTCCTCAAGGTCTCTGGGGAACACAGGGAAAAATCTGAAGCTGTAGTTGATGTGAAAGTTATTGGATCAACTGCAGGGACCAGGGATGTTGTTGCGTCAGTAAGGGTTCTGTGTTAATCCGGGGTCAATCGCACAGGCCAAAAGGACCTCTGGGTTAGGGAAGGGAATAATGTGATATGATGTATCGCTCTAAGGGCCACTGCATTGGCCAGCGGATCCCACCCCGTGTCGCCAGAATGACAGCCTGAAGACACCCGCGACGGGACGGAATGACACTCCGGCCCTTGACCGCGAGTGGTGTACTACTCATGGGGCCCGGAACGGAACAAGGGGGCATCATTATTGTTGAATGAACTGGGTCAAAATGAGCTAAAAAAAGGACAAGATCACCCATATTTCCTGAGAACATTCTTTATTTTGCAGAATAATGAGTGACACAAATCACATCAAAGGGTTTGAAGTTTAAACATGCGCGCTCGCAATCTTGGGAGGAAGGGCAGCGATGGTCTGGGTTGCAGCTTCCGTAAAGCCGAACGGTGTTGGCCACTGAAAGTGACACCAGGCGGCGGGCGTCGCGCTCATATGTCCTCTGGACAGACGAACAGTTTCAACAATACGAAAAATAGAGGTTCTGCCTTTACTCATCCAGTTCCATCACCAGATTCCAGCACTTCTTCGTGGTGCTGTAAGGGCCAATCGGTTCTCATCATCCAAGAGTCGCACAGGTGAAATGTACGTCTGGACCACCTTTTAAATGCCTAATTTGATGTCCCAAAACGTTCAAACACTTTGAGACAACTTACTGTTTTAATGTTCAAATGCTAACTGCTTTCAGATGCGTTATCACTTTCGTCCGCCCTTTGGTCACGGCTCAGTGCTGGCCGCCGGGCATACCTTGCGCGGCTCGCGGAGACTGCGACGCCTGATATGCAGGTTTTTGTTGATAAGCTTTGCAAGGGCGCGTGCTCAAAACTACGTTACATGATTTGTTTTACTCATCCATTCAAGTTTTCAAAGGTACTTTTTCCAGCAAGGTCATCACTTTAAAGCCCCGCATTACTGCATTCTGAGTAGCGATACTGTGACGTCATCATGGGACGAAATCGTATGGCACCAATGCTATGGCCGCGTGAAAATGTCGCTTTTGCGGCCTGTGTAAGCAGAAATACTTCCATAAACCAAATTTTGTTGACCTAACACATTCAATGAAGCATTTGTAACAGAGGAATGTTGTTGGTTTGCACTAGAGCTGCAAATTTATTGCTGAAATGCGCTGCCAGTTTGCCCCTGCAGAGAGATGGGGTAGCTCATTCACCAGTGATTTCTCTGTAACAAGCAGCTAGCGAATCTAATAAAAAATGCTATGTATTTGAGCCACGCAACACGTCACTCCTGCAGGCCTCCAACAGCGTACACAGCTCGGTGCCCTGCCCTCCAAGCTACGCGCCCCCTCGCCGTTTCTCCCTCCCCGACACCGCTCTCGCCAAAAACGTTACTGCTTCCGCTGTTCCTCGACCCTTGCGCCCACTTCGCCGCTTCCGCCGCGCACCAGATGAAGGTTTCCTTTCGCAATCTCCCAGAGAACTCTAGCCAGGATTGCTTAGAAACAGTCCATGCAAAAGAGCGCAACATGCAACAACAGCATAGGGTGGGGATGAGAAACGGCGGCCCGGACGGGCTTGCAGCATCCTGGGACGCACATTGAGAAGTTGGAATGCACATCCTGTAGCCTTAGGAGAGGCTTTGCCAGGGTGGATGCAGGGTTGGCTTGGCCTAATGGAGGCAGTGATGGTGAGCCTTGGGAGGCGCAAATGCAGAGTGCGCCATTTCAGTTCAACATAGCAGGTTTTACTGTAAAATTGGACGGTTTCTGGTACGTTTTGCAAGTTTTCAGTCAAAGAGCGGTCACCCATATCTCAGCTGGGCAATAGTCTTGAGGATATATAAGGTTAGTCGGGTATTATTCCCTGCTTACCTTTTCCACTTAAGCCATCCGACATTAAGTATTTGCAAGTTGAGCAACGACTAGTAAGATCATAGTAAAGTGGCAGCAAATTGTTGACACCCACTCTCCTCACATTAACCTAGATTCCTATCTTATAGATACCTTATATAGATACCCACCTTGGATAACCTATACCTATTTTCACATTTCACTCAATTTAGGTACTGCAGTACGGTGATAAATGGAAAATTATTGCCCAATTATAAATTTAATGTAAATATTACACATAGTATACACTGTATTCACAATGAGGCATTATATCTAAATGTTCAGGCAAGTTGATTAACGACGAATATGGCGCGGGTATTGAACCTGGGAAACGTGGTTTAGTAGGATGTATTTTTGGAAGCAGATCGTAGTACTGATTTGTCTTTAGAGGGTTTAAATGAAAAATGTAAAATATATATTCATATAACATTTGAATAAAGATAAAGAACCTGATGGCTACCCAGTTCATCGGCGAAATCTTCATTCGTAATCATGTTACTAGTACCTACCAACCATCGCGTAGCATCAGCCAAAAACCATACTACGGGCTATCAAATTTAAGGTGACGTCACGTCTGCGTAGTGTCCTCAAGTAGCCTTGATCGTTTTTGTCCACCCGTCGGCCACGAGTCAGGTATTCGCCGCTGGGCCAATGCCGCGTGGTCCACGGGGACCGCAACGCCTGACGTCGAGGTTATTGGTGCTAAGATTTGCAAGCGTGTATGTTCAAAACTTCGTCGTATTATTTGTACAACTGTTCAATTCTGACTGAATGTTGAACATTTTAAGATATGGTTTGAACATCTTGATACACATTGGTGGCCCATTTAGATCTTCATTCTACCTTCGCGGGGCTCTTAATATGTCTGCAGAACACAAATAAAAATTCTGACAAAGCGTCAGCATTTTATCGGTTTAGAAACAGTTCACTGAACCACTGCAAATTGAAAGCACCGGTTTATATTTCATGCAGCCGTTCAACTCCTGGTTTCTGCAGTTTATTGACTTAAAATTCAGATAGGTGCTGTTTGGAATCGTGGCTTATGCTCTGGCATTACCATCATCTATCCCATCTGTGTGTTGAGTGCTTCTTCCTATTTGCAATGCATTTGAATTTCTGCGCTCTCATCTCAAGTGTTTGTTTTTAACGCTATTAATGTCCTGAGCAACGCAACCCCACACCACACCAATCGCTGTCTCACTGTCTCCTTTTCGTGGCCGCACTAGGCATTTCAATTCCTTCCTTATCTTTCTCACGTCGCATTTTCCCCAAGATCAGGGACAAGTGCCCCAACCTCACCCAACCTACTCGCCAACGCAAGAACTACCAAATTGAACTCCCGCTTCGGAGTGATTTTTTAATCTGGTAGCGCTTTCTCTCCATGCTGACGGGCTGACAAAACACGCTGGCATCATCGTCGGCCGGCGCTTGACGCAACAGGCCACGTGACGTAAAACGAATACTGGGTTGTGATTGGTGCTGACAAAAGTGCTGGCGACAGATCGAATGCGGCCCAGGTCGTGGAATTTCGCCCCCCAGAGAAAATGAACAAATAGTCTTGGGAAAATGTATTTACCGAATGGCATACGTAAGTCGAATAGGCAAGATTGTGCACCAGTGCGAAGCAGCTGTATGTGTATATCTAGCATAGCAACCATGACATTTACTGATTTCCGAAATCTGTTATCCGAATTCAAGGCGGACAATAATCTCCACCTTTACCTCCTGCCGCTTCCCGTCACCGGGCTTGCTTCTCATAAAAAGTTCCTGGAAGATACCCATTAGCCTGCCCCCTTCTTTTCGAAATGCTCCTGTGCCTATGAATCACATGGCATGACATGCTCCAAAACACACTCCTTTGGTAAAAATTATTGCGTTGCCTTCGAAGTTTAGACTCTAAATATCGCATTGCTTGCGGGACGTTAGCCATCTTGGAAACATGGACCGGCTGCTCTCTTTTCCCCTGGGTCCTACTTTGATTTTGTTTTGCAGAAATTGCCTGCATGAAACATCAAACGGAACGCGGGAATTTCAATGTAGAGTCAAACTGCGGGCATTACCGCGGCATCGCAAAATATTTTTAGAGACATTTCTGTTCATAGAAATACCTCTAGAATACTTGTCGTTTTCGTCGCCGTTAAGATGCGGTATGACCATTTGAGATACGCGCATTTGCTGACATTTGCAATACTGTAACACTGGCGTTGCGGGGAGGAGGCGTGGGGTCGTGTGCGAACATTGCGGATGTTTTGCATCATATAAGGGGGTTTAGTTTGTTAACAGGACGGTTTTTAGAACGCCAAATTACCTAATCCATGTACCAATTTTAAGAAACTCGCGGGATTGGGAGCCTTTTTAAACGCTCTACGTAAGTTAAATTGGATAGGAGAATACCGTGAGCGCGCAGCCTGCGCTGAGATTACTAATGGATGATGTGGCATAGAGTGAGCTTATATATTTGAAGTGTTGTGCACAACAAATATTTATTTGACGATGTTTCAGTCACGCTTTTTATTGTCATGCCCAAAGTTGGCTGAATTGTTATTTATTTTTGCTTGAAAAATGTGTTATTCTGTAGCAGTGTCATATTTTTAAAACATGGATTCTACACTGAAATTGAGGACTGTACTGAGGCTGGATTTTATGTGCTCAAATTTGGCTCTATCTGCTGAATTGTGCTGTTAATGATGCATGCACAGAAGTTGTTGGGAGAATTGTGTGCTCATGCAGAAGACAGATGATGGACTGGGCAGCAGCCCCACTTGCCAGCGTGCTGTTTAATGCCCCACAATGATAATGCATACCTTAAATTGCTTGCTCAGGGTTTCATGTTTTTATCATACTTTTTGGCTTTTTATTTATTAGTTTCATCTTTGTTTTTTTCTTATACAATGTGCATCTTACATGGAAAGCATGTTAAAAGTTAGTATCCTGGTGTTAATGATAATTTTTGACATTAAAGGATGTATTTTTATGGTTTTTTTATATAGGGGTTTGAACTGAACTAGCCATATTAAAGATCATCTGGTACAGTTTACAGTCATGCCCTGCTGAAGATTTAGCCTATTTTAGTTTCTGGTCTACACATCCACTATTATGTGCAAACTATATCAGGGAGACTTATTTCAAGGTAACCAAGACATCCATGATGCCATAATGACATCACTGAAATTATGTTGTTCCACTGAACATGAAGTGATCAAAGTAAAGAAACATCATTGACAGGTTTTTCATAGCTGGTGTTCATGAGCACCATGTCCAGATATAATGGTAGTCAATTAGATCTCAATGTTATGCAAGGTGCAATGACATATTGAGAAGCTTGTGCACTAAATAGAGATGTGCGGTTAAGAGCTGCCCTGTTCACTTAAAAGTATACCAATGGTTGTAAGTGAGGCTATGTCACCATATCAGATACTTGCCTCAGTATCTCCAGATGTGAAACACTCCCTTAAATATTGATGCATTGCCTACACCTCATCTGCCAAATCAATTGTGTAGTCTGTTGCCAAGAGGTGAAGAGTAGATGTCCTGACACATCTTAGCACCATAAAGACAGGCTGCTCATGAGTGTATTTGAAGCATAAAGGAGATAACAATACAAATCTGTGCTTTGCAATATGTATCCTGTGGCTCAGTGTGCTTATTGATACAACCTGTCGTGCTTGCTTCTATCAGTGTGGTTTCCATTTGGTGATTTATAACATGTTTGAACAAAATGTTGCAGTGTTAAGAAAACTAAAGTGCAAGTGGAAGGCTACTTAAAGCAAAACTCACCTGTTTCATGTTTTCAGCCCTGACATCAAGATGCTGCCAATGAAAGGTATGTGTTCTCAGTGGAATGCACTGCAGTGTGGATGTTGAACAGTATGCATTATGCCACTTGTGCATATACCTTTGCAGCACTTTGTGCATTATGCTGCACATTGGGATGATTATTCAGGGCTCATTCCAGGGTTCACGCATGACAAAATAAAACCAGCTTGAGCTTGGTGTGCACCTTTCTGGGCACAGGCTGAATGGGATATGTACATAGCTTTTGGCATTGTGTCTTAGGCATGAGTCAAGGGGCACAATCTCAAGGCATGACTTAGACATGAGTCAAGGGGCATACTGGAGGCATGCCTAAGACATGAGTCAATGGCATACTCTGCCACAAAATAAGTTTGGTCAGCAGAGCAAGGTAACATGGCCAGTGTGAATCTATTTGTCATCCAAGGTAATTTGTGTTCACTGTGGATAAGCAGCCAGTTCATTCCAGATTTCAGTTTATATCCAGTTCCATTTATTATTTAATTCATTCAGAAAGTCCAGTTCATTGAATCCTGAGTCCCAGGTTGAGTCCAGGTTTGTTAGCCCTGCAGGTGTTATAGCAATGTGGACCATGCACTCTGCAGTTGAATTCAGTTATTGAGTATGTGGGTGTAGCCAGTGGGGAAGGCACATGTTTCTGCTGATTCTGCTTAGTATCACATTTTCTGTTCCAATGCTCCCCACAGGTAGAATGCACAGGTATCATGTATTTCCATTTCAGATGTCATTTTCATATCGAGTTGGCCTCTCCAGATTTCAGCATGTCTTCTCCAACCAACCCTGGTTTGTTCCTCTCAATGTCAGAGATGCAGTTACACCTTTTGCCGAGTGCCTCCACAGCTATTGAGGCATTGTGCATGTTCATGTGAGGCTTACCAACTGTCAAAAAGTCAGGGCTCACAATGCAAATAATTTTTTTTTGAATTTTGGTGAATCAACTTGGTTATTCCATGTGTGATTTTTATTCATTTGGAAATTGACTTAATTCCCAGAGCCCAATGGTCCCAAATGGTTATAAGCATCCTTGATTCCAATACTGGCCACATGTATGGACCTATGCCCATCTGCCACTGCGGACTCCACTCCATACCTGTGGCAGTAAATGTTCTCACCCAGTGCTCCTCTGGTGTGATAAGATGGTGCTGTTCAGCAGAGTTGTTAACAAAACAGACAGCACAAAACAGCTCAATTTGGCTGATAATCAGGCTTGGGTGGTTTGATTGAAGTGTGGTGTAAGTTGCTGACATCTCATCTTTCAGGCCTTGCCAGAGGAGCCAAGAGCAAGGTGTGCAATTGGTGTCTGGAGCCTAAAATGTCCTTGAAATATGTTCTTCCAACTCAGACAAGAAAAAAGGACTTCTGCTCTGAACTGTGCCTGACTGAATACAGAAAGGCTTACAACAAGGTATGTGCATTCTGACTTGATTTTACCATAATACTATGAATAGGATTTTTGTTTTGCATTACTGTTGTTTTGTGTATTTCATTGGGCTGTAATTAAGTGGGACACCATGTTTCTTAATAAAATCTAGTAGAATGCAGCATCACATTCAGATTGTTTGTCAAGACCAATCAGGTAGGTAGTTGACAGATGCGGATTCGTCGCACGTTGCGACGCCTCTGTATGCTCTGTGGCAGCACTGACGATGTGTTTGTGCGTCGCCTAATCGGCGGCTATGTGTGGTGATCCAGAGCGCGTGCGTCCACTGCGACGACGTGGTGCGCGGCGAGCCAGTGCGCGAGCCGGGCGAGGCGGGCCGCTCGCTGCTGTTCTGCTCGGCAGACTGTCGGGCCCGCCACCAGGCGGCTTCCATCGCTTCCCCGCTGCTGCCCGCCTTCGGCAACGGCTCCACACAAAAGCGAGGTGAGCCTAGCCCTCCGTCCCGCCGCGCACGAGCCAGCAGCTGTGTCACAGGGATCAGGGGCACGAACAGGATCGATGTCTGGTAGAAGTGATAGCTGGGGAGAGGACAGACCGATGCTTTAGGCTGATTGAAGAGATGTGTGACGGCGCGTGTCGCCCTCCCCAAAAGCAACAACAATGATTTTGGGACCAAACAGTAAGAATGATAGGGCTACACCTGCTACTCACAGCTGTGGCCGTGGTGCTCAAACACTGGTCAGTTTTCAAGGCCGGCGGATGAGTATGATACGTTCCCCGTCGGCAGCCCACCGTCCGTCGATGGCGTCGATGGCGATGCAGGAGGCGATCCAGCAATTCGACTGGGAGGAGTACCTGCGCGAGACGGAGAGCCGGCCGGCGCCGCAGCACTGCTTCAAGCAGCGCTCGCAGCCGCCCTCCAACGAGTTCCAGGCGGACATGAAGCTGGAGGCGCTGGACCCGCGCAACGTCACCTCCACCTGCATCGCCACCGTGGTGGGCGTGCTGGGGCCGCGGCTGCGGCTGCGGCTCGACGGCGGCGACAACAAGAACGACTTCTGGCGTCTGGTGGACTCTAACGAGATCCATCCCATCGGTCACTGCGAGAAGCATGACGGCATGCTGCAGCCCCCGCTCGGTCAGTCGGCTGCCAGCCGGTGTCGGGGAGAGTTGCAGCAGAGGCAACACCGGCCATTCTGGCGGGGATGGGTAGTACGGCCGACGTGGCCTCGGGGAGCGGGGTTGGGGTGGGGGGTTAGACTTCTGGGTTGTGTAGGGGTGGAGTTTTTCTGTTTTGGTCAGTACTTTTAAGAGAGTTGAATTTTTGTGTGATGCTGTACCGACGCGTCCTCGCCTTCGCACATTTATCTTTGGCTCGTTGGTCTGTATCCCTATGCAAGTGTCCAGTGATGTTGGAGCTTTCAACCCTCGCCATGGCTGGGGGGGGGGGGGGGGGCAATGCAATCCCTCTAAGGTTTTCAGGCGATATCTCCATGGCATGTGCAATCGCCTCAAAAATTTTAGTTTTTCCTAGGCATTCATTGCGCGTGTTTTGACACCAGAAATAAATCTGGGATTTTTTTTCTGACCAGCGAAGTTTTGTTACGAATACTGCTCGGTGACCAACAACCCGTGAGGTTGGTGAGCGGTAAACGCTAATTTCGCCCATCAGCTTCGGTGGGGGACGAGACTTTTGTATTTTCGTAACCCTACATCCTCCATGTTTGCTGAAAGCGTACAAAACTCCATACCAAAATGCTCAAAATTTGCAAGGAACACACCTGCATGCCCATGATCCGTTGCATGCTTTCGTATATATTAGCACGTAATGCTGAAATTATGGCATGTTCGGGAAAGAAATGGTATTTGAAATAACTGGGTCGGATCAAGTCTTGACCTAGCAACATGAAACTTCTAACCACTACTGAGATATCGTTGAGGCTAATCTATTGTCTTGTCTCCACGGCGCTCTATCATTCTCAGTTTGGAAATGACACGGAGTGGGGACGCGCCGACCTATCCCCCCCCCCCCCCCTTCGTTCGTCTGATGGAAAACTGTCGAGCAGGATGTGTGGCCCGTCCTGTTCAGGGCCCAGTCCAGGATCCGGGCTGTTCCGAGCTGACCATCGCCCCGTCCACCGTCGCCAGGTTTTCGCATGAACGCCTCGTCGTGGCCAATGTTCTTGCTGAAGACGTTAAACGGCGCAGAAATGGCGCCCGAGAAGGCATTCAAGAAGGAGCCTCCCACGCCCAGCCGCAACTTTTTCGAGGTCGGCATGAAGCTGGAGGCCGTGGACAAGAAAAATCCGCAGCTGATCTGTGCCGGCACCGTCGGTACGTGTGTACTGCCTGCAGTTGATAACAAAGCTCTGGTGTTGCTCGTATCATTTTCTTTTCAAGACCGCGTCGTTCCTGAGATGGTCTTGTTCATCTCAACACGTCCGTCTGCATGGTCGTATTTGGAGTAAAGCCTGGCGTCGCCGCTGGGTAAACGCATGTGGTGCCGACGAGCGGACGCGGTGCGGCCAGGTGACCGATGGGGCCTGTCCTTTCTCCGCCAGGGGCCGTGACGGGTGAGATGATCCACATCACGTTCGACGGCTGGCGCGGCGCGTTCGACTACTGGTGCCGTTTCGACTCGCGCGATATCTTCCCGGTGGGCTGGTGCAGCCGCAGCGGCCACCCGCTCCAGCCGCCCGGACAGAAAAGTACGTTCCTCGCGCGCACGTTCGTTCCATGAACGCGCACGCTCATGCCATCGGAACCTCATATCCGTGAACTCCATTTGACTGGTATCAATGTGTAATCAACACGGTAGAGGCACTGGTGCATTGGTGCACTGTGCCATCAGCCGTGCCATCAGCTGTGCTGTCATCTGTGCCATCAGTTGTGCCCTCAGCTGTGCCACCAGCTGTGCCGTCGTCGGCTGTGCCTTCGCTGCCGGGGCACTGGTGACCACCGCCCTGTGCTCGCCAGCGGCGGCTGTCAGCGCGCGCTACAAGGCGGCTCGGCTGAGCGCGCCGCCGCCGCCGCGGCTGAACAGCGCGCCGGCCGCCGGCGCCGACGGCGAGGAGCTGACGCCGGTGCCGCCGGCCGCCACCAAGCCGCTGGCCATCACCGTCACCGAGCCGGACACGTCGAGCGGCGACAGCCGGCCGGCGCCGGGCTCTGCCACAGGTGCGGCAGCCGCGCGGACGCGCACCCGGCCCGGACAGGCCCGCGCCACCGACCGGTCGGCCCTCTGCACTGTATGGTGCTGATGAGATCAATCCGGAATGTGACGTCACGGCTGACGTCGCATGCCTTCTGTTTCGGACCGCGAGTCTTGTATCCCCACTTCCTTGGACACCACGCGTTGAGTTGACCTCCTTCGTGTGTTCCCGTTGTCCCTGCGGCGCGTTGTGCGGATTGGTTTTGGATAACTCTGCGATTCGCTGTGCCACATGACATGATCGCGGTGCCGTCTGATGGCTGACCGTCCTGCTTCGTGCACCGCCCGTGCGTGTGCGTACCGTGTGGTAACCGACCGTCCCGCTCCGTCCGCCGCCCGTGCGTGTGTGTGTGCCGTGTGGTAACCGACCGTCCTGCTTCGTGCACCGCCCGTGCGTGTGCGTACCGTGTGGTAACCGACCGTCCCGCTCTGTCCGCCGCCCGTGCGTGTGCGTACCGTGTGGTAACCGACCGTCCCGCTCCGTCCGCCGCCCGTGCGTGTGCGTACCGTGTGGTAACCGACCGTCCCGCTCCGTCCGCCGCCCGTGCGTGTGCGTACCGTGTGGTAACCGACCGTCCCGCTCCATCCGCCGCCCGTGCGTGTGTGTGTGCCGTGTGGTAACCGACCGTCCCGCTCCGTCCGCCGTCCGTGCGTGTGTGTGTGCCGTGTGATAACCGACCGTCCCGCTCCTTCCGCCGCCCGTGCGTGTGCGTACCGTGTGGTAACCGACCGTCCCGCTCCGTCCGCCGCCCGTGCGTGCGTGTGTGTGCCGTGTGATAACCGACCGTCCCGCTCCTTCCGCCGCCCGTGCGTGTGCGTACCGCGTGGTAACCGACCGTCCCGCTCTGTCCGCCGCCCGTGCGTGTGCGTACCGTGTGGTAACCGACCGTCCCGCTCCGTCCGCCGCCCGTGCGTGTGCGTACCGTGTGGTAACCGACCGTCCCGCTCCGTCCGCCGCCCGTGCGTGTGCGTACCGTGTGGTAACCGACCGTCCCGCTCCGTCCGCCGCCCGTGCGTGTGTGTGTGCCGTGTGGTAACCGACCGTCCCGCTCCGTCCGCCGCCCGTGCGTGTGTGTGTGCCGTGTGATAACCGACCGTCCCGCTCCTTCCGCCGCCCGTGCGTGTGCGTACCGTGTGGTAACCGACCGTCCCGCTCCGTCCGTCGCCCGTGCGTGCGTGTGCGTGCCGTGTGATAACCGACCGTCCCGCCCCTTCCGCCGCCCGTGCGTGTGCGTACCGCGTGGTAACCGACCGTCCCGCTCTGTCCGCTGCCCGTGCGTGTGTGTGCCGTTTGATGGCTGACCGTCCCGCTCTGTCCGCCGCCAGTATGTGTGTACGTCAACCACGGCTGCACGTGCGGCCCGTACCTGGACGGCGCACGCGTGACGCAGCTGCCTGAGCGGTTCGGGCCGGGCAACTTGAACCGCGTGCTGCGCGAGTGCGTGCAGGCGTGCGTAGACGCGGCCCAGCGGCCGGCCCAGGTGCTCGGCCTTCTTCAGACCGGCGACGGCAAGGTCCAGATCACAGGTAGGCGCCGCGTGCGGCCCGTAGACGGCTCAGCTGGACAGCGTCCAGTGAAGGACAACATATATCGTTGTATATGCTTGATCTTCGAATTATCATCAGCAGTGGTAATCTAAGTGGAATAGTGGCTTTCATGCCAACCAGTGAACAACGGCCGTGCGAATTATCATCAGTAGTGGTAATCTAAGTGGAATAGTGGCTTTCATGCCAACCAGTGAACAACGGCCGTGCGTCAACCGTGTTTGATGCAACGCATTTGTGGTGTGTTCTGTAAAGTAATGTCATATTGAACGCTCTGCGAAGAAATCCGCCGCACCTATTTTTTACATGGACTCCGAGTGCAGGTTTGTACTATATAACGAACTCCATGTCGTGAAGTTTTTATGTGCCTGTGGAGTGCTTGCTGTGCCTTGTGTCCTGGCTGCAGCAGTGATGTGAGTGCGACGCTGACCGGTCCCTGTCGCGTCAGCCGGCTCCGGCGGCCAGCAGCTGACCGCCCGTCTGCCAGCCATCGAGAAGGACACCCAACTGTGGACCTTCCTCGAGGCGCTGTTCGAGGAGCTCATGTGCTGTGAGAACTTCTACACGGCCGAACCGCACGGCGCCGGCTGCAGCAAGTGCGCGAAGGTGCCGCCCAAGACGACGGCGTCGGCGGCGACCCGTGCCACTGGCGGCGCCTCCCGCGCCCGCCACAGGTCGCCAGAACACCCGCCTGGTGGGTCGAGCGCTGCAGAGCGACCCGCGGCCAGCTGCTGCCCCCCCCCCCCCCCCCCCGCCCCATCGCCCTCCCTGTTGTCTGCGGTATGGGCTCGGCAGTCCGTGGGGTGCAAGTAACTGGGTTATTCTCGCGCCTTCGCTGTGCATCTGCCCGTCTCACTGGCTGCGCATGCGTCGACATTGGACAGCTTGCGAAAATGGCCGAGAAGGGGAAGCATCTGAATTTCATGTCGACTTACAGTGCCCAGATCCGTTCAGTGTTTGTGAGGTGTCGGAGTCGCGGCACACCTGCCGCCAGCTGGGCGGCTGGCTGGTCAGTGTGCGCGCTGATCAGGTGCGTCGCGTGCTGGTTGGGAGGCGGCTGACAGCGGGCCGCTGTCCACAGAGCCGCCGCCCTCGCGCCGGGCGGCCAAGCGGCGCTGGTCGTCGCACAGTTCGGACTGGCGCGCCTCGCGGCCGCGCTCCAGCACGCCCGAGTCGCACCACGCCGCCAAGCGGCACTCGACGTCACCAGGTCAGTTGCGCTTGAGCCGCATCACGCCATCGCACAGCGCCCAACGTCGCCAGGTCAGTCACGCTGGAGCGGCGTGGGGCAAAGCAGTAGACTCATATGTCGCTGGATATTGACGTAGTTAAAATTATTTTGATGAGCCCAGATTTCATGCGCGGCGATCGGTGAGAAAAGTTCAGGATCAAATTTTTGTCCGTATCTGTTGTGTGGGTTGGGGGGGGGGGGGAGCGAGCGGGGTCAGATGTGTCCAAGCCTCGGACCGCGTTACGCTGAAATGCACGAACAGAATGCGTCACGAACGGCGCCATCTGATGCGCCGGCGCGGCGGAAGGTCCTGGTGCCGTTTTCGAATTGACCGGTGGCGCATGTCGCGTGCCGCGTGCCGTCAGCTGAATATCTGGAGAATTCACAACCAAGGGTACAGCTCAGACGTGGGGCGCCCCTGCCCTAGGCCCGGTGGGTAGCTTAGGGCCCATCACGGGGTGTGTTGTTTGATGGTTGCGCAGCCAATGCCGTAATCCACAGACGCTGTCAAATATTTGTGTTCTGGCCCGTTCGAGTGCCGGAAACGTTCAGGCAGCCTGCCGAAATGCAGTGAATTTGGGAGAATGCCACCGAAGTTATCGATCAGAACCCTATTCACGTGTTCCGGGCCTACATCCTCGTGGCGTGTGTATGCTCATCTTTTACACCCCTGTTTGTTTGTATTATCTGTGCATAAAGACAACTATTAAACTCGACTAATGCCAGGTAATGACACTGAAGGTAACTCTCGTAAAAATGGGTATGGGTCGCAAACAATGTTTTGTTTTTAATGACAAAACCTAAAGTCAACTGAGTTCACTGACCGGGGTTAGCCTCTGTTGACTTCGACTGACCTTTTGGGATTGTGCCATATCTGAGGATATTAAGGGCGCTGGTTCGGAACGTCAGACGGGCCGCATCGTCTTTTATGTCCAACTGGTACGCTTAAATGCCATTCCTTTCAAAAGCTTTCATACCATTCAGACCTGGTGTCGCACTGGGCGACCTGACCTGATCAATTCACCGCAGAAGGCGTCGGCTTTGCCAATGACTTGAGAATGTGTTATAGAGAGCTTCCGTTGGCTAGCGAAGTCTCTACCTTCTTAAGTGTTTGCTTTGTAACTATTCAAAAGTGCAGTTTACAATGCTCCCCAAAACTGGGGTTATTGCCCTCACCAGCGGAGTCAAAAGTTGGTTTAAACCTTACTCATGGATGCTGTTGGCCTCCTTTTGTATGACAAGCAACTCAGCGGGGTTTGTTTCACGGTTCCACCTCAAGTAATGACCAAATACTAGTAAATGGTGCAATCGCCCTTAGCTTGTTTTGCTTAGCATATCCCAAGGTTTATCCTTTTCTTGGATTCCGTCCAGCTGGTGCGCTAAAATGGCTGCATAATCGACCTCAGCGCACGAAATAACTTCAGAAAGCGTGAGAACGTCCGGTTGGACCGCTTCTTTTAGCCTGTTGTGGTTTTGAAGGCGATGAGACTCACTGCATACCGATGTGTCGAAAGCTCCTTGCCATTATCATTTAAGTAGCACCGCGTAAAGTAAAGCCGATGTACCCTCCCTGCGCTTGCGTCACTGGTGCTGTTGTGTGCTGCAGAGGAGGATGAAGCGGCCACTTCCACTTCGGAGGTGCCTACTCGTGCCCTGCTCTCGGTCGACCCGCACACCTGGACCATCGACGAGGTCATCCATTACATATCCCAGCACGACGCCACGCTCGGCCAGTACGCCGAGCTCTTCCAGAAGCACGTGAGTGATGGGGCTCGGACAATAGGGATCAGGCATCACACTGGGCCACCGGCCTGGCTCGTCCACAGGCGCGTCCCGGAGGGGGGAGGGCACGAGCCCCCTCCTTGGACGTTGTAGGACCCGAAGACCCCAAAAGGGTGTCGTATTAGGGGGTCCTGGTCGCAGGGCCAGGCCCTCACTTGTCAGTCAAGGGGTCTCTTCGCCGAACGGGGACTCCCTGGGACAACACAAGCTTCAGTTTCGGCCAGAGGCCACTTGTGGCCAGGGGACCCACTTCCCAAGCAGAGACGAGGCTGGCTGGGAAAAAAAGGCTGGGGCCCGGGATTTGCGGGAGGGACCCAGGACCCCGAATGGCAGAGCGCATTTTACGTTGGTCAGGGTCTTCTGACAATGGAAGCGGATCTAACTGACGACGAGAGTTTACAAAAAGACAGGTGAAGGGAGGGCGTTCTGCCATTCTGAAGGAGGGTCGGACATTCTCATGTGATCATAGGCTGGTCACGTTAAAACCACTTTTTGAGCCCATTTCGATCTGCAGTCTCCGCTGACAATACGCTCGCTACGCTACGCTCAGTATCCTTGTGGAGCCCAAAAAACTTCCGGTAGGCCCCTGAGTGCTATAGAGAGACCGCTGAAACATTGCTGCGTAAAAACCGTCCTGGGTTTGTTCCATACAGTCATTTAACACCTGGTTCGTTCAGTTTATTGACTTAAAAATAGAAACAAGTGCATCTTCCGCTGGTTTCTGGCTATCGTTCCAGTTGAAAGTGAAAGTAAAAATAAAGCGATGAAAGTGCCCCCTAGAAATAAAGTCGGTCATATCCAGTTACTGTGTTGTATTGGGGGCAGGGGTCGTTTCGCCATCAGGGGCCCGTTTGCCAACCTTGTACCCTTCCCCCCCCCCCCTCCTTACGAGGACTGACTGCAATGCCCGCCACGTGTCGGGGTGCTAGCAGTAGCGGTGCTAGTCCCGGCCACTCTGCCGTAACCAGCCGGTTGACAGCCCGAGTCCTGAGGTGCGGGGGATAACGCTTGTGTCGCACTGCACGGGGGCTCGGGTTGTTAACTGAAGAAAACAAAGGGCAACTACTGCCGCGTTTTCTCTTTCGTCGCCGAAGACAGTGGCGTGCGCGACATTGGTGACCCCGGCGTGATGTTGACCCCGTGCCGCTACACTGGTATGGTCGCAGTGGTTGGCCGTGTGGCCACACGCTCGGCATGTGGTATAGTGACAGCGTGTCCCGTGATGCCCTGCAGGAGATTGACGGCAACGCGCTGCTGCTGCTCACGTCCGACATCATGATGAAGTACATGGGCCTAAAGCTGGGGCCGGCGCTGAAGATCTGCAACATTATCGCCAAGATTCAGACCGGGCGCGGACGGCGCCACGCCAGCCTCTCATAGGCGGTCGGAGGGCGTGCTCCGACAAGCCACTCGAGTACCTGCCGCCACGGATACCTCCCCGCCGCCGACCGGCCCCCTCCACTGAGCGGGGCGTGCTGTTGGCCTCGGGCGCACCGCGATTCGGAGCGCCGCGGCGTCAGGCTGGTGGTCAGCGCCGCGGCGTCAGGCTGGTGGTCAGCGCCGCGGCGTCAGGCTGGCGGCAGCGCCGCGGCCCGGTCAGCACCCCGCAGTGTATGGTGCGTCCCCAGCCCTAGCCGCAGCCGCTGCCGCACGGCCGGGGCGGGGAACGCCGGTCGCGTCGGCTCGCTCCACTCGGCCCGGACGATCCGGTCCGCCTGCTCCGGTCCACCACACACTCGCTCCACCTGCTCCGGTCCACCACACACTCGGCCCGCCTGCTCCGGCTCGCTCCACTCGGCCTGGACGCTCCGGTCCGCCTGCGCCGTCAGCGATCGGACGTCGGCTGACGATGCTCTCGTGACGTCATCAGTTTGGCAACAGTGGCGCCCCTCCTGACCTCATGATGTTTTGTACAGTCCGTAGTACCAAGCAGCGTTATGTTTTGGGGTAGATCGTCCATCTTTGGAAGAAAGAATGTTTCGCCTCGCTTCATTCTAGAGACAGGTTGTCTCGCGCAGCGTAGGCAGCGATCGCTTAGCGTAGTTCCACCAGTAGGGTTGAGCAATGATGTTTTCACGAGTCCACATAGTTTTGTTGCACCAGGTGACTAGCTTGAGGTAGCACTAGTTTTACTTCGCCTTGCGGGGACGTGTTCAGACTCTGTTTTTCCCGTCAGAGGTTGACCGTCTCATCTGTACACCAGTACAACAGCGGTCTTAAGTTCTGCTCGTGCGTTGGTTAGGCGCTCCAGTTCGTGGTGCATCGGTGCCGGAGTTTTGTTAGCCGCATAGCGTTATCTATTAAATTGCGGCTTCTCCCTGACTGCGCGGTATGTTTTATTTTCCATGTGGAGCTAACGCCATCAGCCAGAGCCGTCCACCGGTTGAGGAATATCTAGTCTGTATGTCGCCTCGCGCGATGTGAGGTCCCGAGCTGCACCCCGGGTTAGTGCTTCACAGCACTGGCTGAGGTCCGATTGGACTGATCCAGGATGACGTGAGACCAGGGCGGAGAGAGCTGCTCTGGGGTTCAGCAGCCTCTGCGGCACGGCCAGGAGACCCACCAGGGGCTGTTGGCGGTAACCAATGTCTCCCTGGTACCAGTAGGACCTGGCGGTGCTGTCCTGCCACTCCCCGAATTGTAGTTCCTCACAGGTGGAGACACCTACAGCGCTAGTTGTCAGTTGGAGGTGCTGTACCAGGTTGTTCAGTCAGTCAATCGGGTTTTCAGAGCTGTCTTCCCGCTGCAGTGCTTCGCGCAAGGTCTCCATTTTGCGCACGCGTACGGAGGCCCTCTACCTAGCTGCCTGTTCTCCTTGGTTGTTGGGCATCGTTGACACTTAAAGCGGCGCTCAAAAGGGGATGCTGAAGCCTTGAACCAACTACAATATGCATGTTGTCTCAAAAACGGGAAGGGGATGTGTACAACAATGCCAAAAAACGAACAAAGAACGTTTTCATAAATTTTGAAAACACTAGAGCAGACTAGATGTCCCTTGGCTGATGAACGGCTTTGGTTGACGGCGTTAGTTGCGCATAACAAACAAAAAACACCGGCAAAGTCAGGGAAAAACCGCAACTAAACAAATAATGGCATGCGCTGACAGGTCTTGGCCAACGCGTTGTTGCGCGGGATACCCGAGTATTCAGCGGCGGCTCGGCCCGAAGCGACATTAATTAGTCGGCACCACTGGCGCCGCGGCACGAGAAATTTCCGACCACCCTCATCTCGTGGAGACCAGGCGGCGCGGCAAATGGACGGACCTGGCGTCTTGACATTGAGACGGCTGTTTCTGGAGAGTTGCGTGAGCTGGTGCAGGCGTGCGGGATGCTGCGGTGTTTGTCCCGTCGGCTCGGCGCGCTGGCTGTCAGCACGTTGCAGAAGCACGTGGTCGTGACTGGTCTGACGCCGGCCGTGTGGTTCGCTGCGGTGCGTATTCAGCTGCGCCGGTGGTGTGACGACGAGCGTCTGCACCAGGTACCTGAGCGGAGAGGTGAAGTGACTCCCCCGTTACCGATTGTTGAACAGTGATGATTGCTCGCCGACGTGGCCGTGAAGCGTGAGTAGTGTAAGGTTTTGGCGTGGTTTCGAACTCGACCCAAACCAAACCAAACTATTGGTGACATTCGGCCCAACGACTGTCCAATCGTGAGAGGGACTCCCCGTGGGCTTCCATGGATTTCTTGTTTTGTACATTTTTTGCTCGGCATGCCATCATTGTATGAAAATAGCTGCTCAAGACCAGTTCGTTTGGGTGTGAGATGGGGTAAGAACGCACGGTCTGGTCGGTCGTCGATAGCAGCCATTTTCTTCTCTGACACAACCCACGCCGTATGCTCTACAGCGGGGCGTGGCCCCACGCGGGGCGGTTTCGATAGTAGTTGGGCTTTAGGATGGAAGATGTATATTTTGTACAGACCTCGCGTCTTGTTTTTGTGTGATTGAAGCGTTTCCGATAAGGCTGTGAAAGGCAGAAAGGCAGGCCGCGCAGTCCGAGTTGGATCGCCAGCAGAGCATATCAGCGCGTCGGCCCGCCGGGGCGGCGCCGGTCGCGCTGCGCTCTGACGTCACGCCGGGGATGCGGCCGAGGGGTCGATGTGTCTGTATCAGCGATGAGCAGGACCTTCATTGTGCCTCCAGGATCGGTGGCTGGCGACGCGGGGGGGGGGGAGAGGGTCTGGTCTGACACAGACGTCGGGATGGTGGATCGTGTGAATATGTGTCTGTACGCACTGGGCCTGTCACCTGAACGCCGCAATACCACAAGCGGTCTTATCTCAGGGCTACAGGACCATGCGCGCGTCGTTAAGTACAGTACAATGTACGTGTTGGCTGTTGCGGCCGGTTTTGAACTGTGGTCGATAGTCCAGTGATAACAGACACCAAGCAAAAGTCCTCGGGTCACAACGCTCGGGAAGGCAAGGCGGCGTCGACGAGCGGCGACGCCGCGGAGGCATCGGAAGTACGGCGAAGGTGGCAACGCTGCCGCGTGGTTAGCACCGCCTCTTTCGCGGCTCGCCTGCTGTGAGCCAAGACTTCAGTATTTGACGTTCATGGACCCGAATAAAAGTCTTGTGCACTTTTGGTGTTTTGTGTGTGTGTGTGTGTGTGTGTGCGCGCGCGCGCGCTCGTAGTGTTGTCAAGAGAGGCGACTTGAAAGTACGTTGGAAGAAAGGATCTGCCACCGACCAGGGGCCGTGCAGCCGAAGCCTTGGTAAGGGAGAGAGACGGGTGCTGGGGCTAACGGAAGGCCCTCTCGCGGCGATAATGCCCTCAAGCAATGATCGCATTTGGAACCATTTGATTTCCAAGGGGCTGATCGTTCCGTGTGGGTTTCGTTGAAGCCTTGTTTCGTTTCTTTTTAGTTCTTTCGATTTAAGTTGCACCCTTTTCCTGAAGCTGAAGCCAAAAGCTACCATGGGTGATATATTTCCCCTGCGAATTTTTTAGGTTGATAATAAGAACGAATTAGCCTTTACCACGACGTGAAGTGCTGCTAGAACCTGGTTGTGGAACTGGGAGAATCAAGATAGAATCTCCACTTCCTTCGGGTTGCTGTAGCTGTTTGCTGTAAAGCCGTAAATTTATCAATTTAGGAGCACTTTTGACAGTTCCGGCACGTGGAGCACGGGGGCTTTTCCTCTCCTTAAAGAACCCCTTCCTTGGTAAAAAGGTCAAGGCAGTCATTCAAGCACACCCGGCCGGTCATGGATGGGCAGACTCAGGTTCCAAAAAGGGTCAAACGTCACTGGCGCGCGGCCGCGCACCGTGTACCGAGGCGTGGACTTGAGTTCTCCGGCGAACAGGTCAAAGAACTTCCCGAGTTCTGCAGGGACAAGAGACGCTTCCAAGCCTCCAGCGGTTTCTGAGTGGCACTGAGGCTGTTGTGGATGCGGGTGGATTTGGGCTTGGGCTGGTTGTCGACACGGGTGGCGTCCTCGTGCGAGCCCTCCAGCAGGTATCTGAGGAACTCTTGCGCGTCCTGCTGCTGATAGCCCGTGAATCGGGCCGCAAACCGCTGGCATTGTACCTTAAATGGAGAGGTGGTCAGCGTCCGATCACCCCATCTGGGCTCTTCCACAGGTCGCGCATAAGCGTGGCAAATGCCCTGATGAGGGCACCCTTCATGGCGCAGGTGGTCGCCTTGATGCCTCTCGAGAAATCGTCTCATAGGATGTGGTCATGCAGGCCGCGGGTGTTGCTCAGATATTGCAGCACCGTGTTCACGAAACACGCATCGCCAGTGTTCTGGAGTCCCGTGCCGCGGGTCGTACCACACCGACATTTTTTATCGAGCTGATGATCCCGAACAGCGTGACGGGGAGGCGGGCGGGCCTGGGCAGGTGACTGAGCGGAGCTGCGCCCGGTTCCACTGTTCAGTACGCGCCCGCTTGGCTTGCCCTTCCCTTCCCTCTCCTGGGTGGGCCTCAGTTTCTCAGTGAAGTTGTTCAGCTCGGCCTGCAGCTCCGGAAAGCAACACTCTGAACCTGGCTTCACCGGGCTGTCATGCAGATCTGGGAGGTGACGGGCCGTCAGAGTATGTAGAAGGCTCACACTCAGGCGGCAACGAGTTAGACGTTCCATCAATCGGGCTGATGTTGGCTGCCTGCGGCAGATTTAGGTAAATCAGTATGGATGCGCCCGGCACATTTTCCGGGAACCAAAAATCTAGCTGAATTTGAAAATCTAACGAATAATTCACGTAACTATGTCCTACATGTTAGGCGTATTGGCACGAAAATGTAGCCGAGCTTACGACCTATCGCCTCGTTGAATGTTGGGTCTCTGATAATTAATGTTCTAGATGCAGCTGCTTAAAAATTTATTTTTCTCACCATGCAAACCAGAGACGAGAATCAGGACGAAAAATCAGAATACGCTACGACTCAAAAACGGTGCTCCTAAACATACTAATTTTCTCAGATTATTGTTTAGAACTAGAGAAAACCAAATAGACATTTCGTCCAATCCTAGTGGGTCGGCGACATCAATTGGCTTGAGTCGGCTTGGAATATTTGTACTACCAGTGCCGCTCCAGGCACTGTTCTGTGTATCGCCATCTGTGCTGACGGCTTGCGATGACTCACATCCGTTTCACTGATGCGCAAATATATTTCGTATAAATCCTGTAAAAAACAAATGTATATCACCGCTGCGCAACACGTGCTATCACCGCTTCGTAACAAGCTATCACGAAGTGTATCGTGTATATGACATCCGCACATAACACCGCGGTCGGCCGTGGTTGGCCGCGCCGCGCGCGTGCTCGGCTGTCCAGCCGCCCAGGAGCGAGAACCGCCTCTCAGCTGCAGGCGTGGCGCACGTGGAAGTTCACCACATACTCGGCGTTGGTGCGCTGCACGCTGATGGCGAACGGGTCGGTCGGGTGGAAGATGAAGGCGACCAGTCGACGCGGCGAGGCGCCGGCCGGGGGCGGCGGCGAGCGGCCGCTGACACCCGCGTGGATCCGGAACCTCAGCAGGCCAGAGTCGCGCGAATAAAACCTGCCCGCATGCGAGCGACGGTCGGCGTGGTGCGGTACGCAACCTGGAAAGTCAGCTTGACATGTCCTGACCACATACGATGACTCTCGCGGTCCTTAATGTGGCTTACACCGGCTGGGCCCATAAACGACTGGTACATCCTGCATGGGACCGTAACTGCTCTGCCACCCCCCCCCCCCCCCCCCCCCCTCCTCCATGGACCATAAAGTAATTGCGGCAGACACCCCGGGCGGACGGGCAACTCGCACGGAGACCGCGCGCTATAGGCTTGACAGAACCAAAGGCGGACACATAACTGATCCCTAGACATACGCACAAAACACGCCGCAATATGCACAACACACGGTGGTGGCGGCCCCATACCTGATCCCTGGGTATACGCACAGAACACGGAGGCGGTGGTCCCAAACATCGGACGGATCGGTCCAAAGATCGTCCGGCCCTTGGAAAACGTCATCTTGCTTAACATGTGAATGGGGCAACATGCGGAGGTGGGGCATCCCCAGATGCAACGCTTCCTTCTGTGGGGTTCAGTTGATGATATGTTGTCACTGCCGAAGCCTATTCTGCCTATTTAATTGGTGCATTTCAGCGAGCCCCCCCCCCCCCCCCTCCTCCCTCTCGTAGTCCGGTTTTTTCCAGCCAGCGGGACTATCTTCATGCACTTCTGTTTCCCCATACAGATATGCCTGGTCAACTGATATTTCCTAGCTCAGTACACTTGATCGTCTGCTACACCCCAACGTTTCCCGCGAGCCTCATCAGATAGGGCATTGTCTCGCTGCGCCGCTCTCCCGACCAGCATCCGCTTCCCCGCACGTGACTGTGCCGCGTGCTGCCATCTGGCAGCGCTCACCTGATGGGCTGTTCGCCACAGGGCTTGGGTCGCTCCATGGCCGACACCCACTTCTCGTCGTAGCTGAACAGCTGCATGTCCAGGTAGGGGCTGGAGGCGTACGACTGGCCGGAGATGGGCAGCTGCACCAGCAGGCGGCGCGTCGCCTCCATTGGGCTACCGTTCCGGGCCGACTCGATTGTGTGCTTGAAGCGCGCCTGCACGTGCCTGGCCGGCGGGATGAGCGGGCCGTCACGTGCGGCCGGTGCACGGCCGCTGGAGACGGCACTGGCGCCAGCATTACACTGTTCTCCGCGAGACACACGGCTGCCACACACGGCTGCTACACACGACTGCCACACGCGGCTGACACGCACGGCTGCTACACACGACTGCCACACACGGCTGCTACACACGACTGCCACACACGGCTGTGACACACGGCTGCCACACACGGCTGCTACACACGACTGCCACACACGGCTGCCACACACGGCTGCTACACACGACTGCCACACCCGGCTGACACACACGGCTGCTACACACGACTGCCACACACGGCTGCTACACACGACTGCCACACACGGCTGTGACACACGGCTGCCACACACGACTGCTACACACGACTGCCACACACGGCTAACACACACGACTGCCACACGCGGCTGACACACACGGCTGCTACACACGACTGCCACACACGGCTGCTACACACGACTGCCACACACGGCTGTGACACACGGCTGCCACACACGGCTGCTACACACGACTGCCACACACGGCTGTGACACACGGCTGTCACACACGGCTGCGACACACGACTGTCACACGCGGCTGACACGCACAGCTGCTACACACGACTGCCACACACGGCTGTGACACACGGCTGTCCCACACGGCTGCTACACACGACTGTCACACACGGCTGACACGCACGGCTGCTACACACGACTGCCACACACGGCTGTGACACACGGCTGCCACACACGGCTGTGACACACGGCTGCCACACACGGCTGCCACACACAGCTGCCACACACGGCTGACACACACGACTGCCACACACGGCTGCTACACACGGCTGCCACACACGGCTGTGACACACGGCTGCCACACACGGTTGCTACACACGACTGCCACACACGGCTGCGACACACGACTGCCACACACGGCTGTGACACACGGCTGCCACACACGGCTGCTACACACGACTGCCACACACGGCTGACACACACGACTGCCACACACGGCTGCTACACACGGCTGCTACACACGGCTGCCACACACGGCTGCCACACACGAATGTGACACACGGCTGCCACACACGGCCGTGACACACGGCTGCCACACGCGGCTGTGACACACGGCTGCCACACACGGCTGCTACACACGACTGCCACACACGGCTGACACACACGACTGCCACACACGGCTGCTACACACGGCTGGCACACACGGCTGCCACACGAATGTGACACACGGCCGCCACACACGGCTGCCACACACGGCTGCCACACACGAATGTGACACACAGCTGCCACACACGGCCGTGACACACGACTGCCACACACGGCTGCTACACACGGCTGCCACACACGGCTGCCACACACGAATGTGACACACAGCTGCCACACACGGCCGTGACACACGGCTGCCACATACGGCTGCTACACACGGCTGTGACACACGGCTGCCATACACGGCTGTGGTGCATGGCTGCCACGCACGGCTGCCACACACGGCTGCTACACACGGCTGTGACGCACGGCTGTGACACGGTTGCCACACGCGGCTGCTACACATCGCGCTGGTAGGGGGCATGACAGGCGCTTCCACGACAAATGTTTTGCGGACAAATTGGGGATTATCATGAAATATTATATATATATATATATATATATATATATATATATATATATTGTATAGATTCAAGATCCTGACGCCTCGGCACAGTAAATCCGTACCCAATAAATCGTAAAAAAGTAAACCGGCACAGTAAATAAATACTTCTTACCAGTGCTACCGAAGTGGTGCCGGGCTAGCAGCCTGCAGTGGCTGGTTGACACCGAGGAGTGTCGGCTTGCATTGGATGCGTACATTGAGAGGCTGATGTTTACGATCATCAGGCCTACTATGCCTGGTAGCGACAATCCGCGGGTTGCTGAATCATGACGCTTTACGGCCGAAACGTTGAATGAAACGCTTTAATATGGATGATAACGAGAATTTGCCCTACGTTGTTTTCCAAATTATCGACAACCAGATCAAGTATACTTATCAAACTAGTCAGAATTGTAGTTCAAGGTGGTATATATATATATATATATATATATATATATATATATATATATATATGTGTGTGTGTGTGTGTGTGTGTGTGTGTGTGTATATGTGTATATATATATATATATATATATATATATATATACGTAAATACTTAATGTCTCTATCTCGATCTCCATCTTCTTCAAGCAGCGTTTCTTGGAACACGGAAAACGGCTCCCTGAGGCACAAGAGTTGTCTGACTGACCTGGCATAGATGTTGTTGGACGGTGAGCACGTGTAGCGTGAGTCGACCGAGAGACGGGCATTGCGAAAGTTGTCGCAGAAGTTTTCGTAGATGTAGAGCAGCTGGGGCGACGTATTCTCAAAGACAGCCAGCACCCGGCTCGAGACCATGTTGTACACCACGAACACCGACGGCTGCTGGTTGTGCTCTGCACGGAATGTCACCACCTGGGTGGAGAAGCGGAAGGGTTAACACCGTGCGTAGGACCCGGGAGGGAGTGGCCAGCACTCAGACGAGTCAGAGATCTTTGCGCACCCCTGACAAGAAGTATCAGAATAGTTCGTCACTTCCACACATATCACTCGGCGGTCGACAGCAGCTTGGATGATGGATAACAAGCGTCATACCAGCGTCATAGCTGGTAAAACTTAGCGCTGAAACTAAGCACATAGACATGATCAATGCACGACTAATCAACATTCTATCAGTTCGATCAACGGCGTGATCAATCTGACCAGTCTGGAGCTGAGCCCGAACAGGATGTGGTCTGCTGAGCTCGGAAAGGGTAAGGTCCGCTGAGCTAGGACAGGATGTGGTCTGCTTAGCTCGGATAGTATGCTCCCCAGTGTACCTACCATAATACATCGCGTCTGATGCATTCTAATCTGAGTGGAGGGTGTGCAGCCGGCACCCCCGTCACGGCTCACCTCCTCGCTGGCGTAGCGAATGAGCAGGTGATGCGAGTCCAGCAGCTGCATCTTCCACATGCGCAGCGAGCGGAACTTGTTGAAGTACTGGTAGAAGCGGCGCAGCTCGTAAGGACTGCCCTCCTCCTCGCTGATGCGCACGGCTCGCTGGTACAGGAATGCCAGCAGCCGGTGTTTCAGGCCGCAGACGAACTCCTCCCTTCGAGACAACGGATGTGACGGCTCGGATGCGCTCTGTCATTCTACGTAACCTGCATTTAATCTGATGCCCGGTCGCAAAGCGCTTAAAACGATAGACTGGCTATCCATAAACAGAGGTGCCTCAAAGACCCCATATGTCCTTCGGGAACAACACGGCTGGATAATTGCGGAATACTGAAATTCCCCACAGCTCATTGGACATCATCGCTCATCGAACTGGGGCGTAAGGTCAGATTTGGGACGATCAATAGTTGGACCCGCACACAGGTGCGGGAAACACGCGATTCGAGCCGCCGTGTGCACGCCGCACCTACACCTCTCCGCCCTAAAAACTAGCACGCGAATGTGGTGCGTACACGCACATGCCGCTGCAGATCGAGCGGGCACCCGCTCTGAAAAACCCACTGCGATTTGATTCGACGCATTCGGCGCACGCATTCCCTGCATTCACATGGATGCAGGACATGCGCGTGTCTGGTGCGAGGGGTTGCAGTGGAAACACCACTCGATGGAGTAGATCAACAAAAAGAAAGAAAAACTTCTCGAAGTAAAGAGCATGCGCCAACAGGGAACGTGCGCTACTCACCCGCCCGGCGGCTGGATGTGGCCAGGCGGAACCGTCACCTGGTAGAACAGCTCGTCGTCGTCCGAGCAGAACCGGCCAATCGTGCGCACGGGGATGATGGAGCCGCGCTCCGTCACGCTGTAGATGTGAATCGTCTGGTGCTGCACGGACAGCACGGCCAGCGTGTCGCCATACAAGTAGAGGCCCTGGTTGTGCGACGTGAAGATCTTGTCGCGCTTGAAGTGGATCGTGTCGCACAGCCGGCCGCGCCCGATGTCCACCACGTGCAGGGAGTAGTTCTCGAGCGGCGTGCGCGCGCCGGGCGCCACCCACTCGTTGGTTCGAGACGCGGCGCCGGCCGTCTGCTGCTCGTGCGCGTCCGTCACCATGGCCACCGAGCCGACGATCACGTGCACGCCGTCGTCGGTGAAGAGCGAGCACTCCCGGTTCAGGTTCTCGCCCTGCGGTGCTACGCGCACGCTGCGCAGCGCTGTGAAAAAGCTGGAGAAGAGGCGACGCTTGGCGGCGTCGGCGGCCGGCCCGGCGTCGGCCAGGAGGTCGCCGGCGCAACCCTGCAGCAGCGCCGCCGCCGCCGCGGGTCCATTGTACCGGTACACCTCCACACTCTGCTGGTCTCCCGAGATTGCGATGACGTGCCGCCCGTCCGGCGTGAACTTGCGCAGCGTGCACGGAGGCTTCTCCACGGCCTGCACCGTGTAGTTCGGGAAGACGTTGACATAGAACGTGCGGTGGCAGCGGTATGGTTGCCGTGGACGACGGCCGCCGATCTCGCGCAAATACAGTTTGGTTGCCAGATTCTGAGGCTGTAAACGCCTCCTCTTCAGAAAGTGAAGGTCGGACATTGCGATTATGTTCGGCGTGATACTGCAGTTACGATGTCATGAGTGATGTGGCAGATGCAACGTCCCCATCAGAGACGAGACGCCACTCATGCAGCCAACCTGCACTGGTTTGCAAGGTCAATGTCGATGTCATCATTAAATGAAAGTGAAATATATAGAATGTCTACATTTTACACGATTACCAATTTTCGTCATTTGCTGACGATTCTGTGACGCACTGTCTGAAAAGGGAATGGGACTCTGGTTAGTCTTCTTTCCAAAATGTATTCTCCTCCCCCCCCCCCCCACACACATACACAAACGCAGAAAACGCAGCAAAGGTGCTTAAAGTGACTGCATTTATCCAGTACACAATGCCTCTACATCTTTTCAAAAAAGAGGCAAAACTTGCAACTGCACCAATGCCCTACACTTTCCAAACATATGGAACAGTGAAAATATTGTTGTTTCTATTGTAACCTGGACAGTTTCTGTCATTGCTTCATAGTGCCATCACGCTACGGCGTTACGTGAAAGCAGTGGGCACATAAACTTCGCCATAAAACCTGTGTCACTCCAGCATACTGGTCTACTATACTGATTGTGAACATGGCATGGAATGGGAGATTTAATCTTTCTCATTTAAAGGACAAACACTTGTTTGCCTTGTCTACCTGGGAAACTGTGCGCCCAAAACGGTTCTGGAAAGCAAGTTACTTCTTTCTTAGCAGCTGGCATCAACAGGGTTTGTTAATTGCCTTTTGCAGTTATCTACTACCATGACTTACTACCTTAACTTATGGAGGCCTAAGCATGGGGCACAAGTTTAACAAGGAGTCCAATCTTGTTAAAACATTTACTGCTAACCCAATCTCAGCTAAAATGAAGGCAGGTTGCTGCACTCAACAATGCACCCAATAAAGGAAAAATAACTGCGGAAAATGGGCAAGATCTCTTCAAAATGATCACAAACTTAATAGAAGTGGGTGTGACCATGACGGTCATGGGTGGGCCGCCACCACGAGTAGGCCTCCCCTTCCTCCCATCCACAGCAGATAGTGGATGGGCTCTGATAACAACTGCCCAAAAGAACAGTCTCTATTCTGTGACTTGGTTTTGTTTACAGGGGATGCTAAGGCTTTATGGTATGCTTTTAATGGTTGTTGCCACATTGTTTTTGGCACATTGTTTTGGCAGAAAACTTTAGTTTGTTTCTGTTATACCTTAAGCTCAACCAAAAATCTTAAACCTGACCCTAAAATATTACCTTTTGAAAAGCAGCAGCAAAACACAGATGAATACAAACCCTGGTGCACTATGAGCCATTGATTCACACTCAAAATTCTGACTAGCCTGTCCCCAGCTTGCATTTTGGCATCTACCCTGTGGAGACAGATGCCTCCCTACTGACCTTAAATGTCTCCCTGCTCATGAAGCTTTGCCTTTGCAGAGAAAAAACAAGGCTGAAATTGGTGAATAACCTTAGAAAGCTGGATGGTCTGGCTGAAGATTTCAAGGCTTATGTCCTGTGGGGCCTGCTCTGACCTGCAGAGGGCCCATTACTGACCATATTGACCATGACCATTCTGGCTTGCAGAATGTCCACTTTCTAATTCTAGGGGGCTCATTCAGGCATTTAAGGCCTGACTTCCCCCCCCCTCCACCAACTGGAACCAGGTTTTTGTGCCCTGGACTGACAAGCATTTATCAGAGGTGAGGTGAGTAACTGAGTGCACAACCATTTTTTGAAGATCAGACATGCTCCAAATTAAACTTCTTAGAATGTGCTCACCTGCAATAATTGCTTTTTAGGATATGGGTCAGTATGCTAAGAGCACTCGAAGCTTGGAACAATTTTAGTGGATTCCATCAATCCCACAGACTTCATAGGTGCACCCCTTGAGGGCACCCCTCAAGTAGATGTCATTTAGTTCTCATTTTTTAAAATTCAATCATATAGTTTCCTTTAAAATTGGATGATGCGCTCTTCCACGAATATTGTTTCAGAAATTCATACTGTTTATCCCAGCAGCCCATTATGTTCTGATTCACCCTCCAAGTAGGTGTCGCTTAATTTTCAGGTACCAAAAACGGTAGGTTTCTATCACACGATTATCTTGAAAACTAGACGAAAATTATTCGATTGACATTGTTTTGAAAAATCATGCCGTTTACACTCCAAATCCACTCGTACATTGTCAATATCAGAATAAGTGGGGCACGCGCCAACGCCGGGTATCTGCAACGTCGTACTGATGGAGCCGCGCGAGGCCCGCGTTGGTGCTGCGCCAGGTGTTGCGCATCTTTTCAAGGAAGTGTGGTTTCTGTATGCACGTGCCAGCTGATGATGACGTCAGTTCCAAAGCGAATGTGTTTTTGACGTTGATGACGTCACTGATATACCAAACAACTGCTGCGTTTTCGGGACTGATTCCGGCCAACTGGACCTAAAGGGACTGCACGGGGATCAGATTTAAACTGTAACATATCTGGCGACAGACTAGACCGGACCGGAACGAGACAAATGGGCAGGGGGAGTGGGACAAATGTACCCGACTGGGATAGACTACATTGGATTGAAATGGGCTGCAGTGCAACTTAACGGACGTTAGGTGAATAAAAAGGATCCCAAGATCCCGCACAGGATTAAAACGAGCCAGAAAAAACTAGAACGATACCAAGATGACAGGAGAGAGCTACACGGGCATGCCCAGGTTCCCCGTTCTGTTCAGTCTTGCATAATCCGAACCAATCAGTTATAGACAGTAAAGGTGCGTCTAGAACTATATCGAGATGACAGGAGAGAGTTACACGGGCACCCCTAGATTCTCTTTTCCGTTCAGTCCTGTTTCGTCCGAACCACTTAGGGATAGATCGTAAAAGTGCGGCAAACACTGGGTCGGAATGGAATGGAACAGGCTGCGATGACTGGACTCAAACAGGCCTGACTGGATAGAAAAGAACCAGTTACGCTCATTTAACTCCTGACCGTTGTGTCTCGCAGCGGGCTGAACCAGGAAAAGCATGATAGCCGATAAATAGATCATATAATACCAGGCCATAGGGAAGATAGGCCATGTAAACGAAACGAAAGGCCAGGAGGCCACAGGGAACGGGGATGAAATGGATTTAAATGGAATGAAATGGATTGAACTGAACTGAGCTGAATGAAACAGAATCTGAGGAAGAAAATGAACGGATAGAGAACGTTGACATTTGGAACGGGTTGGACCGCATTTGACTGAACTGGACAGAAGAAAATAAAAGAGAACCGGAAAAGTATCTTGCGCGTCAGCTGCGGTTCTTTGCTTGGCAGCAGTGGTAACGCCGCGTTGGGGTCACAGGATGTAAATAGTGAGCTGTATAAACGATTTCGAATTTCGCACAGCCAAGGCAGGTTTGCACATATGCCCGGTGCGGAAAACATTAGCTCAGAGCTTCCAGCGTATTGTTTTGTTTTTGTTTATAATGCAACATGGTCGAAAATCACAGCACAGCCACCAGCATACGCAAACATAAAAGACGTCGCACGTGGCGAAAGTGCCGTTTTAACTATGGACAGACTTAATCACAAGACGTCTTTTGGATTTAGCAGTTAAAGGCTGAATATTGTGTAACTAAGCACGCAAGCATTGTGTCATTCAGTGTGTGGAGGCTTGGAATATGCAGAACGGAACTGGCATGGGTGAAGTTACAGGAATGACACTTCAACTGAAACATTTGGGACAGGTCGTGCTTTACACTTGAAACGTGCCTAATGTTAAACGCCTCGTCGTACCTAAATTCCGCTCACGCGCCTTGCCACGCTACGCAGGTCAATGTCGGACTATGGCTGTCAGTGACGGCCATTTCCAGAGAACCGTTCAACCTGAAGCGACAATGGAGTGTTGAACGAAGCCATGTATCTCTGAGAGTTTCCTAGTCGATGGACCATTTAGGTTAGAATTTCAACAGATTCCATCGACCTAGGGTCAGGTGTGAAGGACAGTCCGAGGTAGAAAGTATTCCGTTCTTCAATCTAAAGCTCGCTTTGGGGGTATTCCCCCATATTCATTTCTAATTTATTGCTAACAGGTACTGCAACAGACACGCCCCATGAGCTCCTTAAAGGTCGCATTATGTCACCCAACTAAAATGCCTCAGGTCAATATTTCATAGTTGTCAATGATTTATAGTTAGGAACACACGTCCTAGCGCCATCCCTAACGTATATTCAAGCAACAGAACACATGCAGCATCGAAGGTTCTAGAGCACCTTGGCCTACTTAAGGTCACAATAGGTCGCTGACCTTGATTAAAACCAGTGGCATTTTGCTAAGGATACTTATTTAAGTAAACGGTGGTTGTATGAGGAAGTCTGGGGACACTCGGACACTAACCTGGACCATGACTTATGAACCTCAAAGTTTGCCTCATGTGAGTTAACATAGAGGCTAATCTACGCCGTGCCTTTGGTGTCTGTAGATCTCTTAGATTTGAGATATCGGGCGGATCACACCCCACCCCATCCAGGCGAATGGTATTCAACCGGCCACCCAAGCGCGAGTCTAAGTCCAGCACAAACTGTGAGCTAGAAAGTTGGCACCTTCTTCTTACAAGGAACACAGTGCGAAGTCTCACCCTTCACAACTATCTTCCAAAACCAGCACGATGTGAGCACATGTGCGTCAATGGTTATCAGGATAAGTGCAGTTCTGGACAAAACGCAAACAGCTTGAATGTTCGCTCTAGAATTGGAAATAGATCATGACGGAAGGGGACATAAAAAGCCTGGAGTGGACCCCACCAGACATGACCGTTCTGTCGAACCTGAATTGGGCTGGAATAGACTGCGCTATGCTGCGATTGGATAGACTAGACTGCATTGGCTATGATTCATTGTCGTTAGACCAGGAAACATGATATTCTACTTTGCTTTTTATTTACAAATAACAATTCTCTAGTAGCGGTCTGCAAGGACCAAAAGTGGTTCGAAAGTCACAGGAGCTCTGAACCAAAGCGGAATTACGCGGCCCAGACCAAATAAAACTGAAGAAGACTGGAGTAGATAAGGCAGGCAAGGGGCGAAAAAATTGGAAAAGACTAAAAAGGTCTGGACTGTACTAATTTGCACCACACCGCACCGCATCACGGCACCACGCCGGTTTGGTTCAGACTAGGCCAGATCAGACGAGACCCGAGCAGACCAGACCACACCGGACTATAACATGCTCAGTCTCGACCTTGACCCGATTGGTGCGAGGTACGGCGGCCCCTCCAGCGGCCATCAGCAGCCCATCCCCGTGAGCCACTCTCCCCGTCTGGGCTGAGAAAAAGTACTAAACGAAGGGTAGTGAAGGAGGGGTACCCAAACTGACATACATTATGATATATATGTATATATATATATATATATATATATATATATATATATATATATATACATAAATGAGTATTTGACACCCGCCCACCACTTCGGCCCAGATTGGGGGAGAAATGCTGTGAATAAATCATTTTATCAACTGCGGCCGTAGATCTATGTTTGCCGATCAGTAGTACCAGCTGTTAGTTGGAATCACCGGATGAGGGAAGGCCGTCCTGGTGCCAACGTTTCCACTTGCGGCTCCAAAGGCATGTTGGTTCGTTTCTTGTGATTTGTGTATTATCTTCATGACGACATGATTATCTCCCCCATTATTTCGCTCATACCACAGCACAAATGGTGTATGGCTACTGCTTACAGTCACTCAAGTGTCATGCACCTTCGCGCCATTACACCCATAGGAACCAGGAGCGTACGTTGGATTTCGCGATTAGAGGGGCCCAAGTGAAAGTTGCTGCTGAATACCGAGTTGAATGCACCGCACACGCGCACAGTTTTTCTTGGGGCAGAAAACAGCATCGCGTGCTGTTAGTCTGCTTATCTTACGTGTCTAACAAGGATTTTGTAATGCAAACATTAGATCACGCACACACTAGTGCGCGCAAAGAATCGAACAAGGCAGTCGCACGCGCCCCGGGCTACTCTGTGCATGCTCTTCTGATACAACGGTTCCTAGGCAACGAGATGTTCACAATGGGCAAAAAGGCTGTCGGCCTGGGATGCGCTTACATTTGAGCGGAATCTGGTTGAATTGCTGTGGATTTCTCAATGTTCCAACTCCAAAATATATGTGCGACTGAGGAGGCCGCCCTGGACCGCTGCAGGTGGGGCTGCTCAGTCTGACTGTGGCCCCGGACATTCAGCACGTCACAGTTGCTGGGGTCTGTCGTGACCTAGGGAATAATGCAGCCGTCCAAACTGCCCAGGTCGCGCAACCGCTATCATGAGAGAATTTATAAACGCACCAAAGCTACAATTCGCCGCACAAGCTGCCTGAAGCAGCCGTCTCAGCAGTACGGGGTGGCGGCGCTCGGGGTAACCACCGTGGGACGTGGTCCGCCAGCTTGGACAAATCCGGAGAGCCAAATATCAAGCTGGTCAAGTCCGAAGTCCTTTGGAATGTTTACGCCTGGACTAAGGCTTTGGGTGTCAAGGTCACATCTCGCATGGCGGAGCCCACCATCTCGCTGTCCGAAAACTCAATCGTTGGATTGGAGAAGCTACACAAGAGAGCTGCTGGTCCAAGAGCTCGCGCAGGTTCCTCAAATGGGCGGCCCGGGCTCGGTGGTCCAAATCCAAGCGTCCTCGTTCAAAGGCAAGCGCAGGCACAACCGAGGCCAAGTGCTGCAGGGCGACGGCCATTCGGAACGACGAGTGGACAACTTTGGACAGCGTGTTGACGGCCCACGGGTGCTCGGCCTCGCCGACCGCGCCACCGGGGAACTTCACTTCTTGTATGTGGAAGGGCGAGGCGCTAACACTGCTACCGCTGGTCGTGGAGAACGTGGCGCCAGGAACGGAAATTCATTCTGATGAGTGGGCGGCGTACGTGGACATCGGCGGCCTTCTTGATGTGCCATCGAACGGTGGCGGTCCGATGGCCTGCCGCCTCTGGCCTGTCAACCACTCCCTCCGCTTTGTCGGCCCGGTGACGGGCGCCAACACCCAGCGCATCGAGCGTCCATGGAGTTCGTGCAAGCTACAGTTGATGCGGCTGCAGGGAGGCACCTCGAAGGCGCTCCTCTCCGGCCACCTGGCAGCGTTCTGGGGACTTTCAGTCAACGGGCCAAGGCGCTTTAAGGATGCGTTCCTGCGCCTGCTGGATGCGGTCATTCGCAACTACCCGTAGGCGTGAGCGTCGCCTGACCTTGTCTGAGCACGT